ACAGGATTATTAGTTATAAATTCAATTGCTTCATCTTTGGTTTTGTCATCAATATTGTGGTTTTTGGCTGCTGCTATATGATAAAGATTAAGATATGTATAGAAATAAAAGCTTCAACATTTTTTGTTAAATAATACTTGGTTTGAATTGCAAGTTGTTTCTTCTGCTTTAGTAGCAAGTTTGTCAAGGATAGTGATAGGGATTTGTGCTTTAAAGAAGGCTTCATGTGGAGCATTGATGTTGAAGATGAAGCTATTAATGACAGATTCGATTCATGGTTCGTCATTTTTAGATAGACCTTTAGAAAATGTTGAGTAGGAATGTTCAAGCATATCTGTATAGAGTTGATCTTTGTCATGTAGATTGTAGTTGTCAGGGTTGTGGTAGTTGCATTTTTGGTCTTTGCAGAGGAGAGTATAAAAATTAGTAAATTTGGTAGCGTAGAATTTTTTATCATATACATTGGAGGGTTTAGAAAAATTGAATTTCTCAGGATGAATTCGACTAAATGAGCTATAAACTGTCGATGTATATGGGCTTGAATATTAAGAAGTGTTTCTTTTTTATCAGGGTGACTGAAGAATTGTTTGCAGTAAATAGGGTATTGTTTGTCAAACCATTTGCTTAAATTTTCACAGGAGTTAGAAAGAGATAGGATATTGTATTGTTTAAAGAAGAGGGTTTTAGACAAGTTGAATAATACAGTTGTATTATATCTGGAGTCAGACTTGATAGTCATATAGGGTTCATCTTGATCAGTAGATATAATTTTAGTATTAATGTGGAACTTCTTAGGTGCAAAGTTGAGATCTTCTGTGAATTTAATATAATTGATAGTCTGGTATTGTTCAGAAAAATATAAATAAAGGTGTGCAATATTAAAGCAGACTTGAAATCTTTGTTTGTTAGAGTATGGTGGAAAGGTAAGAAATGATTCAAAAATTTTAATATAGTTGAGTTTGGTAAACAGAATGGTGGTGAATTTAAGTAATAAGTTTTTGAATGTAGTTTCAAAATATTTAAAGAGAATAGGTACCTTTGGAGTAATGTCTGGGTGGGCTTTATAAATAATATCGGTGAGGAAGTCTGGCTTTTCAGCTGCCATGACACAGATGATGTATTGAAATGAGGTCTTAAGTAGGAACTGGTTTTGGTAGCTAGTTTAATTTCTTTTTCTAGATAGAAGTTATAAAGGTATCTTTTAAGGAAGAAGAGGATTTGTCTTGGCAATGGGTTGAGTTTAGTTTGTGTTTTTATTTCTTCATTAATAGAGAATTTGGTTAGCCAGTTTAGGCCTATATTAGATTTGTTTGTTGCTGTTTTTTCTTCTTTTTCACGTGTTTCTTTGATTGATTGGAGTATTTTAAGTTCTTTTTCTTAAATTTGTTTATATTGAACTATAGATATAAATTGAATGCTCTCAAATAGATTGGTTGAGTTGATATTTTCTATATTTTCGTTTGTCTCTATTTTAATAGTTTGTTGTTTGTGTTGACATTGTTCTTGGTGTTGTTGTTGTTGTTGTTGTTGTTTGGTCCTTTGGAGTTCTTCTTGATGAGATCGTTGTTTCTCTACTTCTTGTTTTTCTTTTTCTTCTTTATTAATTAACTAGAGGTATTCTAAGTGGTATGTCTTGTTACTAAAAAAAAAGATGCCTTCTGCGAGTTGGTGATGGTTATTTAGGGTTTTGCAGTTGATTGTGACCCAGTACTTAGAACATGTATGAGTGTGAGTTTTGGGTGCAGGAGAGGTTGGGATAGTTGTTAATGATGAGGTAATAGCTTTATTTAGTTTTTCAGTATTTTTCTGTTTATCTTTTTTACTAGTTACAGGGGCTAGAAAAGTTGATGTGTGAATAGTGTTGGTAGAAGAATGGAACTGTGTGTAGAAGTTACTACAAAGGCATTTAACTACAGTAGTTGTACATGGTGCTTTAAAAAAGTATATTGCTTTAAGTATTCTGGTGGATATAGAGATACAGCTTAATGGTCCAAATTGAGAAGGGACTGTTCAGACCTTATTGGGTTCATCAGTATAGATGGCTACACCGAAAGTATTAGCAAAATTTGCGTAAAAGAAGTCAAGATCAAGTATGTCAGGTTCCTAGGTAGTGGGTATATATTTGCTAACTTTGTTTAAAAAAAATGCTATATATTTCGAAAGTTTAAATAGTTAGAGAAATATAAAAAATCATGTGATTTTTTAGGAAGGAGGGGGTAGCTAATCCATCACGTTCTAAGAAAAATAAATTTTGATTGGTTAATATTTATCACAGGAGAGGGAGGGGTAGACCTTATAGTAAACAGAAATTACATGATTTACTGCACAACCCTTAGTTAATTAGTTTTTCAGTTGGTTATTGTTTTTAAATATAGTTATAGGAGTTTATAAATTCATAGAGATATTATTGCAATTACTGCAACTTGTATAACCTTGTATAACCTATTGGGACTAAGGTTTCACAAGTCATGTATTACACAAATCACATGTTATACTAGTTGTACAATTGTTGTAACTCAAGTAATATTACAAATTCTATTGTATAATAAGTAGTGATTGTAAGTAGTTGCTATATAAAGATTGGATTAAAAATAGTTGCCAAAAAGAAAATAGTTATGCAGGTGGTGTGGTGGAGTATGAACAAATCGAATCAGTAAGTCCAATTATTACACAAAAACGATTTAAATAGAATAAACTAAAAGAAAACTTTTTTGGGTTAGAGAGAAAAGAAAAAAAGAGTTTTGATATTATGAGGCTTATAAATGGCAATTTTAGATCAAAATTGATATACTATAGCTTGTTGTAAAGCTATGGATAAGCTCTACAAACCTTATTATAGTATATGAGGGTACTATTAAGCCCAGTTTGCCAGTAGAGGCAAAACTTTAGGAAGAGAGCAGACTTTTGTTTATCCAATTTTATAAGTCAAATATCTCGAGACTGACAAGAGATAAAGACTTGAAACTTTATAAATATATATAAAATTAATAGCTAAACAAGTTTGTTTAAGAACCAAAAGATAATTGACTTAATAAAATATTTTGTAAATTATGAAAAACGTAAAAAGTTTTTGGGTAAAATTTTGTGTACAAGTGATAGATAGAAAGAGTTTTTTTAAATTAATTTTTTGTTTATATATAATTCTATATTTTTTTTGCTATAATTTTATATATAAAAAATTTAGATGTGACAAATCGGTTGACTGATATAGAACAAAATTATTTAAAATATAAAGATAGAATTAATTAATAAAATTTTAAGAATAATATTTTATTAATTGGTGATTTGCTAGTTAACTAGTGAGAGGTTATAGTGTAATATGATGCAGTTTATATATAGAAATTAGGATTTTGCAAATGTGAACTACATCATTTTAAAACTTTTTTTTGTACTAAGTTAACTACCTTTGAGCTTTTAATTGAAATTGTAGAGCTTATTGAGATGAATTTAATGATAGTTAAATCATCAAAATTAGCTTTATAGATCATGAGATATCTTCAAAAAATAGTTCACTAACTATGTAAAATTTTCTTTCAACAATAGTATTGTAGTTTGGGAATATACCCAATTAGAAAATCAGATCGACATGATGATCTGTAAATTTTATTAGTTCTTGTATCTTTATTCTATACCAAACTTCAACATGAGATTTCACAATATTTTTATATATTACTCGTTAGTAAACGATATATGAATAGAATATCTAGTTTTAATCATCTCAATTAATCCCTTGTAGCAAGCCATATTGAGAAAGATAAATAAGACCCAAAGTTAAGGTTTTTTCTTTTATATTTTTTTAAATTAGAAAAATTAGAAAAAATAATTTTACTAATTAGATAGTATTTCAATTATTTTTTTTTGCAGTATTTGTCTATTAGAAGCCAAGATCAAAGATCTTTAGTTACTGGGTTAAGTTTAAGAATTACAAAAATAGTAACAATAAAAGTAGAAAATGATGTGTTTGTTATCGAAGAAAATTTTATAGTATATTCATTTCATTATTAGATTTATTAATTGAAATATTTAGAATAAGTTATTTAGGTTCTTAAAGGGTTTCTGATACATGAATGCTTATTAATTAGAGTATTCAAAAGAACTATTCAAGTTTATGAAGCATCCAAAATAAGCAAGCTATTCGGGTTTATGAAACATTTTAGAATAGGCTCTTCAAGTTATAAAATATTTAAAGTAGTACTTCTGATGAATCTGATTTGAATAATCTAAAACTGACTTGGCTATAATAAATTTATTATATGGGTCATAACCTATAATAAATGTCGGGGATGATGCTGAAATCGGATGATGCTGAAATTCACATAATCACATGATGATCTTCCGTATAAACCGAAAAGATAATGATAAAGATGGTAGAACTTGCGTGATATTAATTTGATAGATAAAGTTGTTGGTAAATCGACCAACGTTATATTATTAGATTGGAAAAGTTGATGAAATATCAGAAGCAAAATTTCATTTGGTAAATTAACAATGTTGTTCATGATTGATCAGATAAAAATCTGCTCGGTTTAAACTGAGCAGATATAAAAAGAATTTGAAGTAAAATAATCATGTAGATCGTAATTACTATAATATCTTCGCATAGACCCAACGACAACAAATTTCTTTGTCTTTTGATTAAAAGAAAAAAGAGGAAGAAATTCATAGTTATCATATTTTAAAATTATCTTTCCATTATAATAATAATAATATTCTGTTTTTTTTAAAGGATTATAACCTTTGTTAGTATTTGTAAAAATGTATTTGGTTCCGTGAGTTTCGAATAACGAAAGATAGAGGTGATGCCATCTTCTAGAAACCAATTTGATTGATAAGGTGATTGATAAATTATATAAAGTTATCTTGCCTTGAAAAATATGGTAAAATATCATAAGTAGAATCTCGTTTGGTAACTCATTGATTGTCAACTTCATTATTGGATAATAATGATAATTGAGCAGATGAAAATCTGCTCGGTTTAAAACTGAGCAGTAAAATAACCTTTACTGAATTAATTGATTAAAAAATTGAATATAAACTTCAATTTTACATTTATATTTTTTCTGACAAGATTGAAGCTGCTGACAATTCTCACATAAAGAAATAATATTATCAAACACAATATGATCAGGATAAATTTCATTAACTCTTGATTCATATTCCATATAAATTTTTTTCAGATAATCGTTTTTACAAGTTTCACCTGGTCTTGCATGTTTTTTTTTGCGATTGATTGTAGTCACAAACGAAGGTTTAATGTAGACCACTTTATCGAATTTTATTTTATCCTTGAAAATTTCCTCATCGATCAAATTATCAATATATTTCTTTTCTAATTCATTTTCTACGTTGATGTTAAAAATCTTGATATCTCTAACAGTCCTGTCTTCAATCAGGAAATCAACTCTCGGTAATAAACTGTTCTTTCATTTTTTGTACAGATTAAAAATTTCTTTTTGAATAAAAAGAGCATTTTTGGTTTGATAAAACAACGTTAATTCTTCAGGAATTTCAAGACTTGCTTCGATTCTACGAATGACAGAGAATCCTTTCGACTCATGATATATTTGAAACATTTTTGCATATGTAGTTTTTCCAGCACCGATCGTTCCTGTGAAAACAATAATTTTAGGTTTCTTGTTCAAATTAGTGTAAATAAAAATAAAAGAAATAATAATAAGATAAATAAAAATAGTAAAGATAAGAAAAATAAACGGGTTTTGCCATTTTAACTCGAAAATTTTATTAATAATGAATTTTAACATTATTAAAAAAAATTGACTAAATTAAGTTCTACTCGGTCTGAATGACTGAGTAGACATTTATTGATAGATTACAAGATTTCCGTTTAAATTTCCTGTAATTTGATCATGCTCCAATTTAAAATCTATCGCTTGCTGTTTCGCTTGTTCGTTAGTTCTGCTTTTTGTAATACGAAACCGTTTTATTTTATGTTTGTTATTTTCATTCCATTGAAATATCCAAGCATTTTTAGATTTATCAAAATGAATACTATTATACCCTGATGTATTATTTTTTTGTAATTTATGATTTAATTGATTTTCCTTCGGTGATGTCTCTCATAAATTAATTTCACGATTATCGAGACTATTTCTATTGATATGGTCAATCATTTTCCATTCTGGTCGAATCAATCGATGAAGTAAAATAATATTAGCATGTGTATGTATATAATATGTATTTGTATTTTTCTTTTTAATATAAAGCCAGGTATAATTTTGAAGTAAATTAAAGTTCTTGATATCGATTAAAAAAGTGATTTCTGGTTTTTGAGTTTCGACTTCAAAATAAAGCTTGTTGTTTATGTTGACAGTTCGATATTTGTTTAGCTTATGTTTTGGTTTTGAAGGGTTAATCACTTGCTCCCAATTTAAAGCTGGTTTAAAGATTTTGAATTTTTCTTGCCAATTCGACATTTTGAGTTTACACAGAAAAAAATCTATTCGGAATGACTGAATAGATGGATAAATTTAATATGGAGAGAACTTGTAAGTTTTTTTTTTAATTATTATTTTTTGATATGTATATTCTGACCAACAATTCCCATTAAAGCAAAAGAATCAGCTTTAAAATCCGTAATTGATAGTTCCTCTTCTGGTTCTTTCTCATTTTTGATTTTGAAGAAATTTTTGATTTCCTCTATAACCTGAATTTCATTACAAACAATGATATTTTGAGGTGAATTGTTTAACCAAATAGAAGCTTGTTTGGTTAAATATTTTTCTTTTTTCATCGTTGAACTATTATATACCAACATTCCAAGAGAATGTTTATGATGCATCATGGTTGACTCTAAGTCCTTGACATATTTTAAAATTAGTGGATTTTCTGTATCTTTAGATTGGACACAAATTTGGTTGGTTTGATAAAAAACTATCAAATCTAAATCTCCATCACCTTCAGTAACTTGAATCTTATGCGCTATTAACCCGGCATCATTAAAGATTTTACGAAGAACAGTTTCAAAATCATGACCTTTCTGACAATTTGTCACCTAAAATAAAATTAAATATTAGTATAATTGTTTATTCTCTCCGTGGGTTGCGGACGACTTCGCAAGAGATAATAACTCAAGAGACCATCTTGCGTTCCTAGCAAAAATAAGAATTATTCTCGAAAACTAATCAAATAGTTTTACTCAGAATAATTCTCTAATGCAATATAGAAAAGCGTACACTAAACAATTATATTACTAAGTAAAATTGAGCTTCACCAACTTACTTTCTTCACAGTAGTCATTTTTACGTAGTTAAAAATCTGTTCGGTAAAGCACTGAACAGAATATTTATTTATTTAATAAAAAAATGATATAAGTAAAAAAAAAAACAACTAAAATTATGCAGGACTCGAAGCTGATGAAACTCTATTCACTTCCGAATTGACTCCATTCAATTCCGAATTGACACCATTCACCTCCTCTTTTTCTTCTTTTTCCTTCTTGCTAACACGTTTTCTCTTCCTGTTATATTGAGTTAGTTTAATTTTAATCGTTTTAACAATCTCCTTCTTTTTAACTTCCAATGTTGGTGTTAACATATATTGGCCTTTTTCAAACTCAGTTAAAGTACATTTAATCTATTCATCACTTTTGGTCGGTTCAGTTCGAATCAGGATTTGGTTAGGTTCAAGAATCGAGAAATAGACAAGAGTTTTATATAGAGATTCCTCAGTATTGCCAGGGAAAACACAAGATCCTTCGTATTGACAGATATAATTCAATTCCTTGATATCAATTCCAGCTTCTTCACAGACTTCCCTAAAAGCACATGATTCAAATGTCTCATTAAGTTCGACCAATCCACCAACCGACTAATACATATTGTAGTAATGTTTCTCAGGATTATTACGACAATTTAACCAAATAATATTGTTTGGAGCAGGATTCACCAAGATGCAAAGAGAAAATTCCTTTCGGGTTGATTCAATTTCATCCATAATTTTCTTATGTTGAATAAGAAGATTTGTGTTCACATCGAGCGTAGACTCGATTTGGGTTGTAGCTTTATCTAAATCGATTAAAATACTGTAATTTTTTGCTTTGGTAAAATTATTTAAAAACGAATAATATTCGCTGTTTAGATTTAAAATCGATTGGTAGTTTTTGAACACGTTTTGATATTTCTGGTAGACTGCCATTTTTTTTTAAAAAAAAATTTACGCAGAAAAAGATTTAATCGGTTTATTAAACTGATTAAATAGAATTACATTGTAAACTTTGAGAAGAAAAAGAAGAATCATCTATCACTAGCTCATTATCAGAAAAAAACACAGAATCATTTTTAACAAAACCCTGTTGAATATATGATGTGTTTATATCATCCTTAATAACAAACCCATCGTCAGTAATATAATTCGAACCTTCACTGTCCGATTTTGGAGAGTTCGTGTGAATCGATTCTGAATTGTCCAGATCTTCCGACTCACACTTATAGCAGAAATTTTCGATGGTAAGAATATCGTTACACCTCTTACAGTAATAAGTTTTGCTTTTTTCTTTCAAGTTATTTATTTTGTTAAAAGGTTTATGATAAGGTATGTTTCGATAATCATGTTTCGGTAATTGGCGAATTCGTTCACTATATCTGACAAGTATAATGTAATTATCGAAAATTCGTTTCTCTACATTGAAATTAAAAGATTTATTTTGCTTTTGAAGCAATTGTAAATTGTTTGTAAGATTCATTTTACATATAAAAAATTCTATCCGGTCAAAGACTGAATAGATAATAATATAAATAACAAATAATAAGAAAAAAATAAAAATAGATAAGACTAATTAATCATCAAGTTCGTCAAGCGCCTTTTGAATATTTTTGGGTGCAAAACTGTAAGCTGTTTTAACTCCCGCAATGTTATCTTTAATATCCTTTACTTTTGGCCAATATGGATGATTTCTACTGTTTGGCAATCTTTTTTCAGTTTCTTTTAACTTTTGATCGTGACGATTACATAACTTCAAGTATTTATTCAAAAAAATTTTTCGTGATGTTTTATCACTAATAGCCTTCTTATAAGCTTTCTTATCAATTTCTTTTGCAACCTTGTAATTCTTTATATCAAGGAACTTTTCAATTTCTTCTTAAGTAAAGGTATTCTTGGTATTTAGTTCATTTAATTTATCGTAAATTCTATGATGTTGGAAACTAGCTCCAGTCTTAACCCCAGTCATATTCTTCACAAACTCTTCATATTTGTTTGGGAATCGTTGTTTGATTTGTTTCTCTAAATCCTTCAATAGGAATAATTTTGTCTTGTAGACAGACTCTAGTTCATCGATAATATTAATTTCTTCGTTTAACTCATTTAAAGTTTCATCTTCGATCTCATTGGCTATTTCATAATCTTTTTTTTCAACCAAATCGTCTAGTTCAGATTCTGTAAATTGAATGGGTTTTTGAGTGTCTGACATGTTTAAGATTTATGATTTACATTCAAAAAATTCTAGTTGGTCCAAAGACTAACTAGATCATTTATTAATAATCAGAAAAGAACAATCTGTACTATTGATTCAACCATGATAAATAAACTTGAGTCGTTTCCTTTTCACATCCTTACGAGCTTTCTCTTCAAGTTTTTTTAAAATATCATGTTTCATAAAGAAAAACTTTTCAATTTCTTCTATATCTTCGCGATCCTCAAGAAATTTTTCGATTTCTTCTTTAGTAAAAGCATCATTGAATTTCGCTTCATTTATTTTATCATAAATTCTATGATGTTGAATACTGTATACAGTCTTAATATCATTAATATTCTGTGCAAATTTTTCATACTTGTCTGGGAAATATTCTTTGACCTGTTTTTCTAAATTCTTCAACAAAAAAATTTTTGCCTTGTAAAAAGGTTCTTTCTCTTCGAGAGATTTGTAAAGTTTTCTTTCAGAATCGGTAAACTTTATTAGGTATGACATGTTTAAGATTTACGATTTACATACAGAAAATTCTAGTTGGTCCAAAGACTAACTAGATTAAGATTTGTTATTTTTATTATTAATAAAACAATCAAAATAAAGAAAAATCTGAAATAATAATATTCATATTTAATCCTAAATGTTTTCTGAAAAACTATTGATAAAACTCTATCAACCACCTGATAAATATCTAATTCCGTAGTATCGATTTGATTTGATACCTTCTCAGCTTGTTTTAATAAAGGATATGAAAGTAAATCTCGAGAAAAGATATCAAGAAAAATTTTTGTATAATCTGCACTATCATACTCTTTCGCCCTTCTTAAAGTACGAACCTTTAGATCTGCTGTAAACACAATCTTAACCTCAGCACCAGGTAAGATATTAGTGGTGACATCACGTCCAACAACAACAAATCCTTTTTGCTCAGTTAATTTACGAATGGTTTGATTAATGAATTCACGTAATTTGTCATTTTGAGATGCTTTAGAAGCAAGTTCTCCTGATTCAATATATTTATTGTAGGGAAGATAGTTTACCGAATCCAATTCGATTAGAAGTTGATTATTTTGCACTTGTTCATCAATAATCTTGAAAACTTCTTCCAAGGAAGTATTTTCATAATAATAATATCCAATATATCAGTAGAATAATCCAGAATCGATGAACTGGTAATTGAGCTGAGAAGCGAGTTCTTTCCCGATTGTTGTTTTACCTGATACTGTATATCCATCGATCGCAATATTGATCTTGGTTTTAGGAATTATTGTTAGCATCTTGTTCATGACTCGAAAAAAATCTAATTGGTCAAAATTGACTGATTAGATGTTTTATTAAATTTCTTCTGGAATAGAAGGTAAACTATCAATATGATACATTTTGTTATCAATATAGATTTTAAATAAAGAGGCTACTTGATACAATTTTTGATAACTCAATTCGGAATTGATAACAATGTTAGTATAGAAATAACAATAGAAGAGATCTTTTGTGACTGAAGTTTTGAAAAACCAATTATATTTGTTAAAAAAATCTTGAACTTTGGGATAATTGATTGTTTCAGAATATAATTCTGATTGTAGATCAAAATAATCTCTCGTATAGTTGGACACATTCACTTTGTTTAAATTCATTTTTTAACCAAATAAAGAACTAATCGGTTAAGAAACTGATTAGTTGATATTTATTAATAAAATATAATTAGGAAATAGAAATAAAAATATAAAATATTTTAATATGAATATTGTTTATCATTAAAATTGATTCTAGAGGTTTGATGTTCGTTAACATATGCTATAAAACTATCATTATGAACCATTTCTTTACATTAATGAGTTAAAGAATTCAGATTGCTTGTAGTCCATTTACATTTTCCAAACTGGTTTGGTTGATTCGTCGGATATGTAAAACCACATATGTATTTACAATTACAATATTCTAGAGATGTGTATTTTAATTTTTTACATGCCGTACAACATTCATGAGAAAACGCTCGATTACAGTTCCAACATCGACCTTGGTTTAAAGGATATTGATATTTGGTCGTCATATGAATTTTTCCAAATTCATTTGATTCTTTAAAAACATCATTTGGATCAATTTGTGGATTTAATTGAAGGTAAGTGTTGACCGGATAGAATTTGTTATCATTTTCGATTCGTTTGTTATAAATAGTCTTGTTGAAATGAACAATGAAATTGAGAAACAATTGGAATATTTTGATAAGAAATTGTTCGAATTAATACATCGTGAATTACGTAAATAAACATCTACTCGGTATTTAACTGAGCAGATGGTGAAACTGGGTGATATTCTGGAGATTTGGGAACATATTCTTCTATATGATTCAATCGAGAGTCTATGTTATTAATAAGTTGTTCGCCGACCTTGATTTCTTTTTGATCAATTTTATTTTTCTTCTGTTTATTAGTTTTAATCTTCTTTCGTTTTCTAAACACATACTGTTTAAAATCTCGCAAAAGAGAGACTTCATCTTTATAAATTTGTGTTTGAGGATCATGGTAACTTTTTACCCAAAGAAAAATATCATAATCGAGTCTATATGTTCAAAAATATTTTTTCATTCGCATTAAAGAACCTTTGGATGATTTCCGTGTTAATTTCTCTTTATCTGGGATATTCGGATTCACACTTTGAAGCAACCTGAAATAATCATATCTTCTTCTGAATGGACATTGTTGGTCCGAATAATGATTATCGTATTGCCAAAGATCCGGACGAAAAGACTTTTCTTTTTTACACCTACATTGAAAATAATCTAGAAATTTGATTTCTTGACTATGTTCTAACAAGTTGAACTTCTCTTTAGGTTTAAGTTGTGAGTAAACGATAACGTAAGAATGATTAAAATCGATATTACTGTACGGAATTTTATTAAGGATCACAAAAGACTCATGAAATTTCTTTTGTTTTATGGAAGAGAATCTTGTGAAATGAGTCACAATATCTCTTTCCATAATGAAGTAATTTGTTAATTACCAAAGTAATTATTTTATTACTTCTTGAATAACTGCTCGGAGAGCTTGTATTCGTTGAATCGTGTTGATTCGAGTTGTGACAAGGTAATGATTTCCTTGCTTTTATAGACGTTTGGAAAAGACTAAAAAAAAACTAAGTTTTTTTCTTTTACGAGAGAAATTAAAATGGAATATTGATGCATGTTTAAAATTATAGATAATGAGATTAATTTCACCAAACCATAAAATTCTGATTTGGAACTCATGTAAATTAATTTTTCCAAATCAGGATTCCTGATTTGGTTAAATGAGATTTGTGCAACTTCCAAATCCGTAAAATTCTGATTTGGAAATGTAATTATTAATATTTAACAATCCGTAAAATTCTGATTTGGAATATTTAAGGGATCAGAAAAATATTTAATTAAAGTTGAAATAAAAGAAAAAAATCATTATCAAAAAGAAAATATATTTATTAAAACAATAAGATGCGTAATACACATGAAATTCGAAATTATTTTCGTAAAAATACATTAAAAACAAAACTTATTTGTACCAAATGTCAAGCTGCTTATAATATTGATGTTCAAACAACAAATTTAAAAAATCATTTTAAAATTCGTCA